AATCCCCCGCTGCTATGGCTACGAGACCTGATCCCTGCCAGGGCTGGATCCTGCTGCCAGCACAGCTCCTGGGATCTCCCCAGTCTGCCCAAAACCTTGGGACTCGGAGTGGGGTGAGAGGTTCCCTGGGTTGGGGTTTCAAGGTGAGGATGATGAGCACAAAAGGTTTAATAATCGGAAATAACTGTGCCCCTCGCACTCGGTTTGGCTGCTGGGAGAGAAATCCAGCTGGGAGACAAATCCAGCCTTGTTGGTATCTGCTGGGAAAGGGTGTGAGGGGATTTACAGCTCTGCAGCTCACTGCTGGAGGGGTTTGGCTGGTGGGCAGGAGGAGAAGTTGATTCAGGTTTTGGGCAGCGATGGCAGCGTCGCTGCGTCCTGCGTGGTGGGTTTGCAGGGGAAGGGGGTTCAGATGCTCAAACGTGGAAGAGCTGGGACAGTGCAGACAGGCTGAGAGGAGAAGGGATTTTTGAGATGGTTTTAAAAGCTCCCCATTGTCTGAGTTTGTATTTATTAGTATTTATGTAGCTAATCTGCTTAGGAGCAAAGAGCCTTCAGGACTGCCAAGTCTTGTCATAGCCCTTGGCTGGGACTGGGAAGGGGAACGCTGAGGAAAGGATGCTGAGAGGGAAGGCTGGAGTGAGCTGGAGACCTTTAACTTGTAACTTTTAACCCAGGCTTTCAACCTGGGTGTGTGGGGAGGCAGCAGCCTCCAGCTGGGTTTGCTCAAGTCCTCTGGTCCCTTCCAGTGCTCTGCTTCCACCACTCAGGTGACATTCAAGCCATTGAAAAGTAAGTATTACGCATAAACCTACAATTTTGTCCCATCCTGTTAAAAAATGCTGAGCCAGCAGCTTGGCTGGGTGCTGCTGGGTGTGGGATGGGTGATGCTCGGGATGGGTGATGCTTGGGATGGGCAATTCTCTGCCTCTTTGGATCCACTGGTGCTTGAAATATCCTGAAAGGAAATCTAGTGGCTGGCATGTGTGTGGGGGGATGAAATACCTGATGCCAGGCTGTAGCAGAGATCTAGACCTGAGAGCAAAACATTTAGTGTCCATAGTGACCACGACAGCATGGACCAGACCCTTCCCAGGGTAGACCCTGCCCTGTTACAGTGACACATTCAGGGTTCTTCAATCTCTTGGGATAAAGATTCTCCTTTCAAAGAAGGGAGCTGCTTTGGGAAGCAATTTCAATCTCTTGGGATAAAGATTCTCCTTTCAGGAGCTGCTTTGGGAAGCAACGTGAGTCACTCAACTGTTTTTATTCAGTTTCCCTAATAGCTTTTTTTCTCCTACCACTTGGATTCCTCACACAGGGCTGAGTCACCATCCCTGGAGGTGTTTAGAAGATGAGGTGCTTAGGGACATGGTTTAGAGGTGGAATTGGTAGTGTTGGCTTTATGGTTGGACTTGATGATCTTAAAGGTCTTTTCCAACCAAAACAATTCTATGATTTATAGACATAAACCATCACAGGGAGGCAGCTGGAGTTACAGGAGCTCAGCTCCACCACCTGAGGCTGGAGAAGTGGTGAGTGGGAGCAGAAGGCAGCACAGACCCCACAAGAGCAAGGCCAACTCCAAAGCTCACCCCACCCACTCAATGCTCTTTTTGGGCTGTGTTCATGGGGGATTGGCCCTTCTGCTGCCAGCCAGGTCCTTCCTGCACTGTGCCAGTGCTTAACCCTGGTGCTGGTGGCCAGGACCCTGGGAGGGCTCCCTGGGGAGGCACAGCTGAGTGGAGCCCAGATGCAGATCCAAGGTGGGGTGGCTCAGCCCCTTCCCAGCACGTTTACTCAGCTGGGAGCAGTGTGGGAGGAGCAGATAAATCTCTGTGACATGGAGAAGGCGACAGCACTTCCCAGCAAACTGCTCCCATTAATGCCTGGTATGTTCTCCAGGGTGATGGGGTGGGATGGGGGGGTCACCAGTGCTGTGGACCACCATGGGGCTGGGCTGCTCCATATGGGAGGGATTTGGTGCTCATTAAAAGGGCACCCATAAAAGTCCAGCCTGAAACTGTGTTGTGCAATGGTGTGAGCTGGTGCAGAGCCAGGGGACACACCCCTGCCATGATTCAGGATTTAAAGCCTTGAGTCGCCAAGACTGTTCTTCCCTTTTGTTCCAACACCCCCTCCCTAGTCAGGTCTAGTTAACATACCATCCATCTTGCAGCTAATGTTGGTCAGGAATTTATTTGAAATACATCTAGATTAGAAAAACTAGTTTGTTTTGTTTTGTTTTGTTTTGTTTTTTCTTCAAATCACTCTAAAATATCAAAACTTAAAAACTTTCCTTTGCTGCGTGGAGGTTGTTCATGTGCAGGGTGTAAAATGCCCACGGCTCGGGGATATAGATCACACCAGGGTATTTCTTCCTGAGAATTTTGTCATTCCACAGCCAAACCACCCAAAGAGCGATGAGGATCAGTGTTATGATGAAGGAATAGAAGAGAAAAAGCCCATTGCTGTCCAGGACGAGTCCTTTGCGTTTCTGATGCATCACTAAAGCCATCATGGCAAAGAAAGTGAAAATGTAGAGGATGAAAATCTGACCCTCCGTCACGAGATACCTACAGAGCAAAAACACCCGTTAGTGATCCTGGGGGGGTGAAACAGGGAGTGAGAGCAGCACCCAGCCCTTCCAGCCGTACCTGAGGGGAACCATCTCCCTCTTCTCCTTGCTCTGCATCCAGACAAACCAAGCTGTGCTCCTCTCTACTGACAGCTTTTAAGCTGTGCTGTGTTTTCATGTTTCTTATCAGTAATTTAACAACTGAGCTATGGGCTGTGTTAAGAGAATGGGTGAAAAAACACATGCCTAGTAGGGGATCTGAAAGGTGCTGGGCTCAGGTTGTGAATGGGATGCTTGAATATAGAACCAAGGCTCTGACCTGTGCTCATTTAATCCAAAAATCCACTGCTCCCCCCATGCTGTACCTGACAGTGGCCAGTCCTGAAGGGGTGCTAGCAGGAGGGAGAAGGAATTAACACTCCTTGGCTCTGAAATCACTAGCAGGCAAACTGCAGAGACTCACATTGAATAGATTTAAAGGAAGTGCAATGGGTTAACTGGGAACTGACCAAATCATCTTGATGATTTTCACTATCAAAAATTAATTTACTGTATAAAAACAGTCTCAGCAGGGGGCAAAGCCACGGGCAAGAGAGAAGATCATCTCTGAAGATGAATGAAAAGTTGTTTGGCTGCCATCAGGGAAACTGTTTGGGAAGATGAGACTAATGAAAATGGGAAATAAATAAGTCCTCTCTCAAAAGGCGATTTGGACCCGCAGGGCGAGCCGAGGAGGCAGCATCAGAGCATCACACAGGTGGCCTGGGCTCTCTGGAAAACCCCTGGATAACTGGGGAGAGCATCCCCATTGCCACCAACGACCTGAGACCAAGGAGATGTGCTGCAGGTGCTGGGTGACCACCCCAAAATCATCGAGGGACTGTCTAACAGCGCAGCCTTTGAAGGGGGAGAGATGGCAAGTACTGCAGAAGCTGGAAGCTGGAGCTCCAGAAATGACAATACGACCAACAGTGTGGTTGAAGAAACACCCTGAGCAGGGACAGGAGTGCTGCTGGGTGACCCTGAAGTTCTTCCAACTTGAAAAGGCTGAAGTGGCTACAAATTGCAGTGAGATTTGATTTTCCAGAGCTGCTTGCAGTACTCCCTCTTCATCCCTTGCCCAGTCAGAGAGGACAGAAGCCACTTACCAGTAATAAAGGCTGCTGGGCCCCATCAGAAGCAAGGCAGCCACTGGCATCCTGCTCTCCTCTTCGACAGGGGTGAAGCAGCCAGTGAAATAGATAAATAGTATCAGGAAAAAAGGGATGTACCTGCAAACAGAAACCACACACTGATCAGTGGTGTGAGCCCAGAAAGCATTTAAACCCTCCCCAGATCCAAACCATGCACATAGGAAATTCCTAGGTTGAGGCTGTGAATTAATTTGGTGAAAGAGCAGAAGTGAAGGCCCCTGACTCCAAGAAGGACATGGAGGTGCTGGAGCGTGTCCAGAGAAGGGCAACGGAGCTGGGGAAGGGTCTGGAGCACAAGTGTGCTGAGTTCCCTTGTGGCTGAGGGAACTGGGGGTGTTGAGCCTGGAGAAAAGGAGGCTGAGGGGAGACCTTGTGGCTCTGTGCAAGTCCCTTGGAGGAGGGTGGAGAGAGGTGGGGGTGGGTCTGTTCAACCAAGGCCCAAGGGAGAGGACAAGAGGAAATGGGCTCCAGTTGTGGCCAGGGCAGTTGAGATGGGATGTGAGGAAGAATTTCTTTGCTGAAAGGGTTCTGAGGCATTGGAAGGGGTTGCCCAGGGCAGTGGTGGAGCCCCCATCCCTGGAGGGATTGAAGAGTCGTGTAGACACAGTGCTGAGGGACATGGGTTAGTCATAGGGGACTGGTCAGTGTTGGGTTCATGGTTGGACTCCATGAGCTTCAAGGGCTTTTCCAATCCAGGACATGCTGGGATGCTGTGAAGGCCACCCAGCCTGCTCAGGTGGGTGATGCAGTGGGTAACTGGGTGTGGGGTCCAGCTCTGTGGGGTCCCTCAGTGCTGGTCAGGGCACCACCTCTCTACCAGCATCACAGCTCTTGCTACGAGACCCCCACTGTGTCAGTAGGACAGCTGAAGGGCCGGCTCCAGTGAGTCCTTCTGCAGAGAATGGGGTTTTCTGCAGAAAAACTGAAGTTTGCTGCTTAGGCTGAATTCTGGGCTCAAGTTCTCCATCGGATAATTGCATTTGTTACGCTCCCAGGCTCAAAGAGGCTCTGTAAGAGTGTTCTCTTGTGTTGAAAGCTGAACCACAGGAAAGCAGGACGTGGACCAAGATTTCAACAACCTAACAAGAGCTCCTTTTAATTTAAAAGACCAGGATTTGCTTAAGGAAAAGCAAATAAACCAGGAAAGCCTGATGGGGAGAGATTTCCCTCTGCTCTGAGCAATCTGAGGATTATCTGGCAGCAGATAAAGGGCCAGACAGTCCTTCCTGGGGTCTTTGGTGCAGGCAGAGCAGCAGGACACGTCAAACAACTGCCACGTCCTGGAAATATCACTGAGACAGAGACAAAACTAGGGGGGGACAGGCAATGTCCCAAGGGAGGGATCCACTGTAATCACACTGGCTCTGAGAACATCATCCCCAGCCAGCTCTCAGCAGCTGCCTTTTATTTTTGTTTTCACATATTAAGCCATGATCAGATCAGGTCTGTCCTTCCTCGTATTACAACCTGAGGCTGCTAGATAGACTCTAAATTGCTTACCACATCGAATGACCTAAATATTCATCGTAGTAGTACAGCAGCTCAAAGGAATCAATCTGCAACGCAACGAGAAGAGATTTAAAAGGGCAGAGGGAACAGGACCTTGTTAAATAAGAACAAGCAATTAACTTTTTTTTTTTTAAGAACAAGCAATTATTATTTTTTTTAAGATCAAGCAATTAATATTTTTTTTAAAATGCAATTAATATATATATATATTTTTTTAATAAAACACAGCCTCTTTACCAGGGTCTCTGGCTTCAGGTTCTTGATGATGGGGTTTTCTCTCACAGACAGATGGTGTTGGTAGCCGCTGAAAATCAAGCGATGGTTTACGGAGTCTCCGACCAAGTGGATGCTGGCTCCCATGACAAATGTGATGATGCTGACATAGACCATTGATCTCGGTAAGGTCTTGGGGGATCTCTCGATGAGCTAAAAAACAGAGATAAGTTAAAAAAATAAATCATCTCAGCAAACCAAGCAGAGGTTAAAGCTGCAGGTTGTGCTGCTGTAGCGGGTGTGAGCAGCTGCCCGCCGTGGCCAGCACCCTGCCAGGGAAAACACAGTCACCCCTCCTGGAAAAGCACAAGAGCATCAGAATGAGTTTCCCTGACTGCAGCTCCTTTCCCTAAATGCATCTCAGCCACGTTTCCACCAGCCCAGGTGGTTTTCAGGTTTGAGGCCACACTTTATCCCTGTTTCCAACAATAAAACCACATTTATTTTTTTGCCCTTGTTAAACCTTTCTGCAAAGCAGCACCCTTAACCTGAATGGACCTGCTTGGACCAAAGCAGAGATCCAGCACCTCTACCAGAGCACTCCAAGCAGTTTCTTCAGCACATGTGATGAAAATGAGAAAGAAAAAGGCAGCTGCTCTCTCTAGTTGCTCTGCTGAGCGGATCTACAAGGCTGGCTGTGCCCTCCAGTGGCAGGAGAGCCTCCAGCAGCACACACACTTCGCTCCCCAGGTTAAGATTCTCCACCAGATGATTTTCCAAGGATTGTTTGGGGTTTTTTTTTTTTCTTTCTTCCTAATGAAATTGGACTCACCTCTCTCTATTTGCTTCTAAAGAGGAAATGGCATTAAAACCCATATCTAGAAATACCTAATTACCAGCAAAACCAGTTGAGGCAGCGTTTTGAGCACCAGCTTTAGTGATGAGCTCTCTCTGTACAATCTCGTGGTCTGGGTGGAGGCAGGCAGGTTGGGCTGGCAGGGAGCCTGGTGCTGCTCAAGCACCTGGGGTGAGCCCCTGCAAGCGTGGCCAGGGATGAGGCGCAGGAGCTTCTCTCCAGAAAGGAGCTCCCCACCCAGCTTGCAAAGATCTTGAAAGACATAAATCCCAGCTCAGGTGGTTCAGGCTTTGGAGGGGCCTCAGGAAGCGCAGAGCAGGGGGGGATGCATCAGAGAATCTTAGAATAGTTTAGGTTGGAAAAGACTTTTGAGATCATCAAGTCCAACTATAAACCCAACACTGCAAAGTCCACCACCATGTCCCAGAGCATCATATCTACATGTCTTTTAGATACCTCCAGGGATGGGGACTCCACCGCTGCCCTGGGCAACCCCTTCCAATGCCTCAGAACCCTTGCAGCAAAGAAATTCTTCCTCACATCCCATCTCAACTGCCCTGGCCACAACTGGAGCCCATTTCCTCTTGTCCTGTCCCTTGGGCCTTGGTTGAACAGACCCACCCCCACCTCTCTCCACCCTCCTCCAAGGGACTTGGACAGAGCCACAAGGTCTCCCCTCAGCCTCCTTTTCTCCAGGCTCAACACCCCCAGTTCCCTCAGCCACAAGGGAACTCAGCACACTTGTGCTCCAGACCCTTCCCCAGCTCCGTTCCCTTCTCTGGACACGCTCCAGCACCTCCATGTCTTCCAATCAGCCCAAGGATCAGCTGGGGCCACCTTTGCCTCCCGTCTCCCTACTGCCAAATCAGCTTTGCAGCCCTTCATAAACACTGAAAAGCTCCTTATTTGTATTTAATTTTGAGGCTTAACTTTCCCTTTCTCTGTAACTGCTGTATGAACGTCAGAGGAGTCAGAGGGGATGGGGAGAGCAAAAGGCCCTGGAAAGCTCCTGTCTGATGGAGGACGGTAGGACACATCCTTCGAGGGGACACTGGGCAACAGAAATGCACCCTGAATAACAAATGGCTTTTTTCTGTGGACCAGCCCTTTGTGCTGTGCTGCCAGGGAACTCCAAGACAGCAAATTTATAACCTGATGAGTACCCAGGCTGCAGAAATTGTCTGTGTCCCACTGGGACGAGTCAGACCGAGCTTCAGAGCTTTGACATCACCCAAAGGACCACATCCTGACTATTCCTTTTTGGCCACACCAGCATTTAAAATCTGCCAGACTCGGAAGAGAGAGAATCATTTACATCTTAGGACAGAATTCAATTTCTAGTTAATGAAGGTTAAAATACATTTATAATTGCTTTCTCATATCTTCTGGCTGCTAAGTATTTAATAGAAGAAGATTCCTAATGATAGGCCAACTCTTTAACTTCATAAATGGTTTACACGATCCAATGGCTGGCAGCTGAAGCAAGATAAATTCAAGCTAAAGCTACAATTCTAATGTTGAAGAGCAAGTGTAATTAAGCTCTGAACAATTTAGAAAATCTCCTATCGTTCCAGCTGTCTCTTAAGGTCTTTCAAGTCACGGGTGGATGTTGTCTTAAAAACAAGCTTTGGCTCAGCCAGGAAGAAGGGCTCCAACTCTTCCTGAATCCAGAGTTCCCAGGGGAAGCGATTTGCTTTGTAAATGCAGGAAATTAAGTTGTATTAAGACAGTCACTGCTGTTAAAAGGCATCATTACAAATTCCTTCTGGAGTGGCAAACCTCTAACGTCCAGGAGGGCTGGCTCACTTGCAGGAGTTTGTGAAATAACCAATATTTGTTCACCAAGTTCCTAACAAACTCTCAGCCTTTACAAAACTGTATTGTTTGCCCTGTTTTTACAACCGGTAATATTTAACAAAAAAAATGTAACACCTGCAGCTCAAGGTTTACCTTCAGCAGAAGAAACGGTGTGATAACGTTGTAAGCCATGTGGAAATAATCTCCAGCACTCGGTTTGTTCAGAGGAAACCACTCCAAAGGTAAAATTATCTGAGGAGAGGGGGGAGAAAATAAAAAGTACATCAGTACATCCTCACCACCCAGCTCGTGATTATAGCCTCATCGCTGGCTGAACAACGGGGAGAGAGAAAATCCTTGCTTTGGACTGCTGCTGCTTGTTAATAGTTGGCTTGACTTCACCTAGCTGTTAGTAATGAAGTTGGGCAGCTCTTCTTGCAGGAAGCACCCCGAAAAGTGCAGGAAGTGGGTGCTGAACGCACCCGTACTTACACCTCAGCCACTTGCTCCTCTAGCACGGCCCAAAGCCCATGCCCTTAAGTTGTGTGGCAGAGCAGGTAAAGCACACGGGAGTCCTGCAGCAGCGGGTCTCTGTTAACCCTCTGCCAACGGGCAGATGTCAGCAATAATGAATTACACTTGAGGGTCACGGCCACTTCTGCTCTACACTATCTGGAGAGCAGGAGAGTCCCAGGCTCTGGAGATACAGATGGGGAAGAGCAATAGGAACCACTCCAGATAATTTTTGTTATGAAAACATAAAGTTGTGGGATAGATGACATGGAACAAGTTTCCCAGACACTTTCCCTGTGACTGGAGCAACACACTTAGTAGCAGTTACTCACACCAGTATATTGCAGTGGTCCTTGTCTCAAGGACAGCTCCTCCAGGGCATCCCTCGGTGTAGAAAACAGCCCATGGGTCTACAAAGGACCACCATGGTTCTGCCCCACTGTCCTCCACCCTAAATAAACTGCTTGCAAGCCAAGCAGCGGGCCTGCCTCTGCCACACTCACCATCGCAATGGGACGCCCAAAGTCCAGCACCCAGTTCTGCAGAGTGAAGTAGAACCACAGATCAAAATGAAACGGGGAGGTCTTGAAGGTGTCCTCGTTCTTGACTGCTCCATGCCTGCAGAGGACAGAAGAGACAGTGTCAGCCCTAAATCATAGAACAGGTTTCTGAGGAGGCAAGGAGCAGACTCCAGGTCTCATGTCCACACAAAACCTGTGCTTCCACGGCTGCCGGTGCATCTCTGAGCTTTGGGATCTGTGGAATAACAACAAAGTTGAGAAGCCAAAGAGAGGAGGAGGTGCTACGGAAAGGCAAAGTGTTGTTAATAAAAACTGGCACATCCTTATACGAAGGAAGGCTCTTCCTGGCTGCGAAGCGAGCACAAAAGCAGGATGAAAAGCTTAAGTGCTGAATTAAGTGCAACTATTTTTAACTTTTGCATGACAAAGCAAAATTTAACTCCCCTGGCACTTCTGCTGAACGCTCAAAACGCATCGATGCCTGGTGGTACTCAAACACAGGGATGCTCTGGATGCACCATCACCTTCATCTTCCATTCTGGGGATCCTCCTCTGCAAAGCAAGGCCTGATCCAACCCCGCTGAAGTCTTTCCATCAAATAACCTCCCAGCACCACCGGACCTTCACCTCCGTACGGGAAAAGCGGATGAATTGCTCTCCCTTGGTGCTGAGACCAGAACAGCATCAGCCGGATCAGCCACACGCTCGCACTGCCCGAGCCCACGCTCCAAACCCGACCGACAGACGGAGGAAGAGGATGGTGGTACCCTGGAGAAGTTGGGGTGCTCGGGATGAGCTGGGAAAGCTGTGGCTCCCTAGAAGAAGCCATCAAACCCTGGAGCAGTTGGGGTAACCCAGCGTTTGCACTGCCCGAGCCCACGCTCCGAATCCCATGGATGGATGGACGGAGGAAGAGGATGGTGGTACCCTGGAGAAGTTGGGGTTCTCGGGATGAGCTGGGAAAGCTGTGGCTCCCTGGAAGAAGCCATCAAACCCTGGAGCAGCTGGGGTAACCCAGGTGAGTCAGGCGGTCCTGGACCAGCGAGGGGACCCTAACCCAGGCTGGGGGACCCCCCTGGGACACCCTGGACACCTGCAGCACCCGGGATGGGCGCGGTGGTACCCGGGATGGTGCCGGAGGACCCCGGGGCAGGGGGAGCGGGGGACAGGGTGGGTTGGGGACCCCCGTGGAAGGCGGGAAGGGCGCGCGTGGGGTTCCCATTCCCGTG